TTGTTATTATTTGATCTATTTATTGAGGGTTATATAAGATTTTGAATTTTGGGATGTTTTAACATTATTTTAAACTTTTTGCCAATTAATTGTGTACGAGTGTGTTGAGTTGTGGAATGGGCGTGTGTGTGTGTGTGTGGAGTGAATGTTGAGTTGTAATTGTTACTGGTAGGTGGTCTGAGTCCATTTCATGGTGTGCTGTGGAGAAAAAAGGTTTTTTTAAAATTTGTTATACCTATGTCTAACAGATCTGGGTTCCTAGAATGGTCAAATGGATACTATGTTGGTTCATTGTGGGTTATGATAGTTTGTTGTTGTTTATTAGTTGTAGTAATTGTGTCCCAGCTGGGTTATAGTTTTTACATCCCGACTGTACATATTTTACATTAGATCACCTAGGGTTATTGTTGGGGTCTGTTGAATTTAGATTTTGTGAGTTATTATGTTGATTAATGTTTTGTGTTCTGGTTGTGTTGTTTATGTGTGTAAAGATTGGGATGTTTTGAGTGTTTGACAGGCTGGGGAAGTTAGAGTATTTTCATGTGGCGCAAATAGAGATCCATTGGTTCTATCTATAATTTGGCGATTGTTGTTGTTAGGGTTTTGGCTTACTTTTTATAATAGGAGCTTTCTACTGTTCTGAGGTCTACTCCGAGTTTTCCTTGACAGTTATATTATTGATTCATTTTATGGGGACAAGTAGCAGAATAATGTCTTTTGGAACAATAAATGCATGCTATTTTATGGTTACAATTATTTTTTGTATGGCCAAAGTATAATCATTTCATGCATTGAATGGGCCCTCTAGGCTGTCTTCTCCGTTCAGGTTACAACAAGATTACATATTTGTCTTATTTATAAAAAAATCTGTTTTCTTCCCCTTTCATCGAGATCTGTTGATTTGGTTGAGATTCCAATGATGTAGCTTCATCACTGGCAGTTCCGTTACTTCTTGGTAGAGCATCGATACGTTTAAATCACTGCTTAGTGTTGTTAAAGCATTACTGATGAGCTGCCCCGTTGACGGGCTGAACCCATTGTACATAATGCGCAGCACTCACTAGAGGCACTGTTTCCACAGACCACTCGATTTATGCTGTTTCACAATTTTTTCTCAGTCCCACGGTTATCACTGTTCACAGCGATAAGAGCGATCCGTTCGGTTCGGCAATCAAGCGCGGTACGTAACTACGCCCGTACGAGCTCCTTGCCCGTCTGGGCGCAGGCAACTTCCCCTACCTCCGCGCAACTTCCCCGCCAGATCCAGCAAGTGCAAGCCGAGGCGGCGTAAATTAGCAATCATGTGAAATAAAGTATCTGTACGTTTCAAGTCTCTTTAAGTAAACAATTCTCGCTTACGGACGAACACCACTGTCAATAGACAAGAATATTTGTCTGTTAAACCCTCTAACCTGAACTTCGCAAGTGCATGATTGATACCATTCTTAAGTAAAGAGAATTACAATATCAAGGTACTTTTCATTACATTTTTTCTATATTATCCGAATTTAAAATCTAAAATCGGGCAGATGTATTATTTCGTTTCGTTTCGTTTCGTTTCGTTTCGTTTCGTTTCGTTTCGTTTCGTTTCGTTCGTTTCGTTCGTTCGTTTCGTTCGTTTCGTTCGGTTCGTTTCGTTTCGTTTCGTTTCGTTTCGTTGTTCGTTTCGTTTTCGTTCGTTCGTTTCGTTTCGTTCGTTTCGTTTCGTTGTTCGTTTCGTTTCGTTTCGTTTTCGTTCGTTTCGGTTTCGTTCTTCGTTTTCGTTTCGTTTCGTTCTGTTTCGTCTTCGTCTTCGTTTCGTTTCGTTTCGTTTCGCTTTGTTTCGTCGCTTCTTTCTGTTTCGTTTCGTTTCGTTGTTTTCGTTTCGTTTCGTTTTGTCGTTCGTTTCGTCTCGTATACTTTTCGTTTTCGTTTCGTCCGTTTCGTTTCGTTCGTGTATTCGTTTCGTTTCGGTTTCGTTTGTCGTTTCGTTTCGTCGTTTCGTTTCTCGTTGTTTCGTTTCGTCGTTTCGTGTTCCGTTCGTTCGTTCGGTTTCGTTTCGTGTTGTTCGTTTCGTTCTTCGTTTCCTTGTTTCGTTCGTTTCGTTCGTTTCGTTTCGTTTCGTTTCGTTTCGCGTTTCTTTCAGTTTCGTTTTCGTTTCGTTTCGTTTCGTTTTCGTTTCGTTCGTTCGTTTCGTTTTTCGCTTTCGTTCGTTTCGTTTCGTTTCGTTTCGTTTCGTTTCGTTTCGTTTCGGTTTCGGTTTCGTTTCGTTTCGTCTTCAGGTTTTGTTTCGGTTTGTTTCGTTTCGTTCGGTTTTCGTTTCGTTTCGTTTCGTTTCGTTTCGTTTTCGTTTCGTTTGTTTCGTTTCGTTCGTTTCGTTTCGTTCGTTTCGTTTCGTTTCGTTCGTTTCGTTTCGTTTCGTTTCGTTTCGTTTCGTTTTCGTTTCGTTTCGTTTCGTTCGTTTCGTTTCGTTTCGTTTCGTTTCGTTTCGGGTTTGTTTCGTTTCGTTCGTTTCGTTTCGTTTCGTTTCGTTTCGTTTTCGTTTCGTTCGTTCGTTTCGTTTCGTTTCGTTTCGTTTCGGTTTCGTTTCGTTTCTTTCGTTTCGTTCGTTTGGTTCGTTCGTTCGTTCGTTTCGTTTCGTTTCGTTTCGTTTCGTTTCGGTTTCGTTTCGTTTCGTTTCGTTTCGTATTCGTTTCGTTCGTTTCGTTTAGTTTCGTTTCGTTTCGTTTCGTTTCGTTCGGTTTCGTTTCGGTTTCGTCTTTCGTTTCGTTTCGTTTCGTCTTCGTTTTCGTTTCGTTTCGTTTGTCGTTTCGTTTCGGTTTCGTTTCGTTTATTTCTTTACCCTAAAGAGAAAATGGGAATTTATATTGCTACATTTGTGACAATAAGTGTCCAGAACGTCTCCCAAAGACTTTCATGTGCCAGGTGTCCATTGGCGTACCGCCATTCTCTAGCATTTGTACAACACTTACTTTTAAATCCCGTGCCAATTTCTGTGTACATACTGCCCGCGACCTTGACTTGCTTGTTCCAAATTCATTTCGACTCCTCTAATTGGGATATTTGTTCAATACTGTGAGGCGGTCGTGGCGTTGCAGTGGAACCATCGCCTGAATGACCAATGGAAACCACGAAAACCCCGGTCAGGATGGCCGGTGCGAAGTTGAACGTACGGCTCCCGAATGCGACTGCAGTGCGCTGTGCTTAGAGCCACTCCGTTCGCTTGTTTCTGAATAGTTCTGAACAAACAGCTCCTGACTAATACGTTCGTGTCTTCTCATTTTGTAGCCAAATACCGGGCAAGGTAGTATTAAACTTTTAAAGGACAAGTAAATCCGGGTCAACGAGGAGATTCTTATGGAGAAATAAAATTAAACGGGATCAGTGTTACGTCTGATTTCAAATATAACACTTTTTCTTCAATCATCAATACGAACTTACGAAATTTGGAATCGTAAAAACCACAAATGAAATATATTCTGTTCTCAAATGAACGTTTAATTCTATATGTTAAGATGCAAATAAAAACTTTTTGATCAGTTCGTTGCCTCGCTTTCTGAAAGTAGTTTTCTGCAGAAAAAAACACGTAGCCTGAGTTACGGAACAAAATTGAGTATTGATGACTTTTTCTGTTCAGAAGCGACTAAACATCTTGAAGATTTTGTGCAAACGAAAACAGATTGGTATTCGCACTCGGATAATAAGGCATTCGGTAATCTTTATGGGTCGACGAACAATGCATAATTACCTTCAAATAAAACGATACGATCCGACCCGCGCACACTTAAGCTACTGCAATCACGGATTCAGCCTCACATCCCAGCCAAATCTCACATCCAAAGAATTCAGATCTCCCAATATCGTTTCCTAAGGTACATCGCCAAAGTACCCTTGCTCTCATACTACAATGATTTTCTTTATCACGTGTCCCATCACTACTCACATAAAACAACCCGTCCTTAAATTTTATCACATAATCCCCTCAATTCCACAAGCTCTCCCCTTTCATCTAAGGAAATAAACCTGACAAGAATACATATCTGTAGGAAACTATCGAGAAATTGTTTTGAACCATCTTAATCCTGACTAGTCTTATTCCATAACATACTTATTAGGCAGTAATGATTTTCAAAAAGACTCGCTTGTTTTAGAATTTTGTATCCATTAAATTCAAGCCACTTGCAAGCAACTGCATTTCGAAAAAGTCCTTCAAGGAGAGTAACGCATCGGAGCGTCCGTCTTGACAGGAGGCCGGGGCTCACGGCCCTCTGAAGTCAGCCGCTTCTCGAGGCCTTCTGTCCGACCCAAATTAATTACAGATTCCATCCCCAAATCTTAGCGAGAGACAAGCCCTCGCCCCGCGCCAGAGGCCTCGCGAACAATGCTCATCCGGGATTCTCCGTGCGCCCTCGAGCGCGCTAATAAGCTCTTTGTAACGTCCTTCAATGGCAGAGAACTTTTAATTATTCATATTAATGTTAACATTCTTTTGTTGCCACGCGTCTCATTTACTATTCATTTGCCTTGTTTTCCATCCCTTTACAGAACGAGACGAGTGCTTTGCTCTTAAATGTTATAATAAAATCGAGAATATCTTCACTTGCGGAAAATGTCTTCTGATATTCACATTTTTGAAGTGAGTTGATTTCATTCAGTGTTTCAATCATACTCTAGAAATAAAAAGATGGAAATTCAAAAGTTTTACAATTTTAAACGTAGGTACTAAAAGTACTTACAATCTCCACAATCTTGTAATATTTAATTCTTATTTAAAAACTTTTTTACATTAAAAGATTCTAATGACTTATTAAAGTAAATTCTAACAGTTTATTGTAATACAAATTTCACAAGTGATCAGAAAAACTGAAAAACATTGTCAGGGAAAAGGCTTCCATATCAATAAAACGAAGCTGAAAATAAATTAAACCATAAAGTAAAATGACTAAAAATCGAAAACAAAGGATGATTTTTTTCATTAGAAATGCAAGGAAGTCAATATGGGAGTTGCTTTATAATTTATGTATGGTTCAATTAAGCATTTAAATTTTCTTTCGTGTTTTATTGTATTAACAAATTCATTGTAGATTCATCAATTTCTATTATTACTTATTCTCCACATTTTTTAACAGATTCACATCATCACGGGTTATTTTACAAATTAAGACAACATAATCACGTAATTAATTTCACTGATAATTAAAGGCATTGATTATATTTAGATTAAAAGTTGTTTTGAACAACACAATATGGTTTATGGACGCAACATTCTCAATAAACATTTCTTCTGGCAGTAGTCCACAGCCAGAAGTATATCAGTGTTTGTGCTAGGCAATCTATAATTACAAAAATATGCTTTCATTCAGTTAATTTAAGTGATACATCATGTTCGCTTTGATTGTGTTTATATTACCAGCAAAACGCTATTGTTTTTTGAAGAGGCACGTCATGTTTTGTTCATTTTTTATTGTTCCAAATTCTACCTGTGTCACCACTCGTCGAGCACAGGAAACCTCTGGCATCCCAACTCGTGGAGGTTCTAGGGGGCTGAGGAGGCGCAGAGGATGGGCGCACTCTGCACTTTTTGTTGTTGCGGGGGAAGTCAGGCAACGACGGATTTCTCCAACTCGTAGTGTTCAATTTTCTCCACTTCTTATATACTATATATACCTGGCTCCAGAGTGCACATATACTAGTTACGGGGGCACACATATGTGTAACAGGCTTCACCCTCAAAATATATTGCTTAATAATAAAAATCACTTTCACATAGTGAACCTCATGGTGAGTATAACCTCAACAACAAATGTATATTATAGTCCGTCATATATTTGGTTTTACAGTGCTTGTTTAGTAGCAACCTTGTATGTCCTTGTGTGCGCGGCTGGGCTAGGCGGCGGGCGCGAGGGCGTGGCGCGTGTCGAGCAGGCGCGCCGCCTTGGCCGGGATGTCGTCCGTGATGTAGTAGAGGTAGAGCAGCCAGTAGAGGCCGAAGAGCAGCGTGAAGAGCAGCGGGAAGCAGCGGCGCGCGGCGATGTCGATGGCCGAGAACTTGGGCGGTGGCTCGTCCGCCAGCAGCAGCCGCGTCACCGTCTGCTCCGTGGGCAGCAGGCGCAGCGCGCGCAGCTCGCGCAGCGGCCGCTGCAGCATCTGGCACAGCGAGCGCCGCGTGCCCGCCGTCGCCGACCCCAGCGCCGAGCGCAGCTCCATCACGGACCCGCGGATCGTCACCTGCGCGCCACACGCAACGCTTATTAACAAAAGCCGCCCTGGAACGGGAGAGCCAAGCTTTACACCCGCTCTCTTACAATAAATAGCAATGCAATAAAGCTGCCCCCCTAACAACTCCAAACTGATTGGAAACGTAAAGCCGCGTAAACGAAAAAAAAATAAAGTAAGCTGGAATAAAACCACTGCAACTAATCAAACCTAATAAATTCTGCAAAAACCATTAAAAAATATACAAATCGTTCATAACCAAATTCTCAGAACAGTATATCTACAAGTTCAGGAGTAAAATGTGTAGGTTGGCAGCGCCCACCTCCAGCGTCTCGAGCGTGTCGAGCGGCGGGCCGTCTTCGAAGTCGCTGTCCGCGTCCTCGTCGGCGTCCTCGTCGAGCGCGGGCACCGACAGCAGGCGGGCGCTGCTCCGCCGCCGCCCGCCCTCCGCCGCCGCCGGCCAGCCCCGCACGGGCGCTCGCCCTGCGCTGGCGCTGCGGAGCCGCCGCCCTCCCGCGCCGCCCCCGCCGGGCCGGCCCCCGCCGCGCCTCCACGTCGCCTCCGTCGCCGGCAGGTACGGCTAGGGCGCTCTTGCGCGCCGCACCAGCGCCGCGCCCTTTCGCCTGCCACAACGTCATCGACCACTTCAGCCAGAGTTCGTTGCAATGCAGAGGGCACCGAAGCCCGCTTCAAAAAGCCTTTTTTCATTAAATTTTGTCGGATAGAAAGAGACGGAGCAGACTGGACACAATCTGTACAGAAAAATGAAGCATGCACCATTTTCTGAAAAGACAACATGCTCTTGGACTACCGCGCATCAGGCGAAACTTCCCAGAACTTTTTTCGGTTGCTATTCCTGTGCGGTTTTCTTTCTTTTTGTACAGATCTCAGGAGGTTGATTGTATTGGGCCATGTATTAAAGTAAGTAAAACCTGTCTACGACGGAATCTCCGTCACACGAAAACTTAGCATCCCGGACTAAAATCAGAAAATGAAATGACAGTGAAAATTGCTAGAACTCGTTCATGCAGTTTCGATACCGAAATAGTCCAGCGTAAAAAAAACGTCCAGCTGCTGAACAAGAAAACCAACACAGGATGAAAATAGGACTCCGTAAGGCAGACACTATCCCTACAGCAGGGCCCACAATGTGAGCGGCCACTTTGCGAAACTGCTGTGGCCCCTTCGCGTCGAGTCAGTCAGACGAGGCGAAGGGGGAGGCGTTCGGAGACATCTTGTGTTGTCTAGTAAAAAGCGAGCCCCTCACGGGTCACTGAAGCGGGCCACTGCGGGTAGTCTGGCCCCAATTCCCTCCCTTAAACAACTTTGTCGTCCAGAGACGCATTAGGAGGAAATGCTTTACTCTCTACACAGAAAACGAACTTCCCCAGCTGACTCTTCGCTTCAGGCTCTGGCCTCCGCGATTCATATAAAATAACCTAGTGCAACGCGTTATACCCAAGGAATCATATTCCCCGAACACTCTCTTTGCCCATCCGGTTGCTGAGATCGCTAAGGCAGTAGAGCCGTAGCGATCTCGGACCGAAGGATCGCGGGTTCCAGTCCCGCCTCGGGCATGGTTGTGTTGTGTTTCGTCCTTTTACCCCCAATCATCATCATTATCGTGTCATCCTCACAGTTACCATACCGTTACAAGCAATAGTGATTGCTAATGAGCTAGTTGTTTATGCAACTTCAAATAATAAAAAAAACTTTTTTCCGATCTCGCGGAGTACAAAGTCGTTTAGTTATGTGTGGTAAGGATGAGGGATAAGATCCTATGAAATTAACACGGCCGATGCTATGGTTAAAAGGTCCAAAGGTTCCCTGCCTGATCGTGGCACAAGCACACAAAAATTGTGTTTTTTGAATATAAAATGACGCCATTCGTTTGTTCGGAGTAGTGAGTCGATTCAATCTGTTGCTGTACTGGTAAGGGATAAGATCCATTTGCCATTATTATAAACTCTCGTTAATTTGATATTATATAATAATCATTTTTGTATAGTTATAAACCAATGTAAGTTTAATCGCATGTGTGAATATGGATCCTTATTATAGATGATGGGATTTTGAATATTTGATTCCAAACGAATTTCAAACGTGAAAGGGAACAATTAGAGAATAATTATACAATATATTTGCTGTTGTACGGATAGATGGGCCATAGTCTAACGGAAAATATATTTCGAAGGTTTCTATCAGATCACCCTTTTTCACGTTCACGTAGCAGGGTTGATATTGTCCACAACCTTTCATAATGAATCATAACACAAAGACAAATGCACCTATATTGTACTTTCTGGCATTACATGTTGCTTGTTCTCAATTAATATATTTACTAGGAGAAGAAATGAAAATGTAAGAAAGTGCGATGGTGAATCATGTATTCTGAAATAACGGTATTCAACGTATTTAAAAAAATATAGTAACGAGATACAATTTATCAGAGACAAATGTCAACAATTGAAATAACTAGTTGACGACGCCATTGAAACAAAACCCCGTAAATATCCTTCTTCCCCATAGTTAGTAACTCTCCTTCACAGATGCATCAAAAATATTTAAGGCAAACTGTGTACAGTGCATTTTAGATTCCGCCGCGACGAAATGAGCAGGCGCCCGTGCAGCTCGCATCACTAAACCTGTCTGTTCTGCTTCTTAAAATCCAGCTGTGTTTCTCAGGTACCGATCTACAAAGCATGATCTTTTCGAAGTGTCTGTAGTTTGTAGAGGTTTAGCACATTTAGACATTCTACTTTGTAGTAAAATTTGTTCAGAAGGATGGGAAAATTTGGAAACGTAATATTGGTAATACGTGCAATTTAATGACATGAGACTAGGTCTTTTTGTTCGTTAATAGATGTTTTGCAATAGGACTGTTAGAATGCTTACACAACCACAGTCCAAGCCCCATAACACATGTCGCTGAGGTCAAGGCATAGCAGTTCGAAGGTCAGTCCCTGTGTAGAGCTATTTGCAATTTCAAAACAGTGATTACGAGGTTCACACAAGCTCAATCCATTCTACTAAATGCAAGGATATAAAATACGGAAGAATTGAACAATCAAAATATTAAAAGCGACAACAACAGAATCATTGGTTTATTGCTCAGGTATTGTGGGTGATACACACCTTTAAATAAAATGTCATTCCAATCCAATGAATTTCAAAAAGCAGACTTTATGGCTCCCAGGCAACACATTATACATATTATATTTGCAAAAAATGGTTTTTGCCATCATTAATTGATCAAGTATTTCACTTGATCAATTAATGATGGCTATAACCAGCGTTGCCATCCTCGTGAAAGAAAATTATGGCGTCGTGAAGCGATTAGGCCTCTTTAATCAACGCTACCAGCATAGATCTATTTAGGTGGCATTGGTTTAATTCTTGGCCTACTGACTGAGATGGCAGCGCCAAAACCACGCAAAAACGAGTTTTTGGAAAATTTCTTGGAATTTTCTCACGGAATAAGAAAACAACTGATGAGTTCGTTATCAGGAGACTGACACGCGTCGAATGACACCTCATATGTCTCGATTGGTGAACGGGACGCGGTCTAACCGCGAGTGACCGATTCACTCACGCAGATACTCAAATACTGTAAAGGGATGAAAAGAGGAGTACGTATTTAGCTGTTACGCAATAAGCATAATGAAAAGCACATGAAAAGCAAGCAGTACCCTCGTCTCGCGGTCGGCAGCTGCTGTCGCTCCTGCTCTCGCTCGTGGGCCTCCTGCGGCGACAGCACCATGGACGCCAGCACCAGGCACGCTTGCGCAGCAACGGGGTGCGCCCGCCCGCCGCCCGCCCCCGTCCGCCCCGGCGGCGCGGCGTCGCTACCTGCCGCGTAGATGGGGTGGGCGCGGGCGCGGGCGTGGGCGCCAGGTCCACCACCAGCACCGGCACCACGGCCTCGGCCGAGGCGGCGGCGCCCGCCGCAGCCTCCGTCGCCTCCGCCGACCCCTCCGCCACGGGCTGAAACCACTCATGTTTCTCCTCAGGAACAAATACACTTACATATGGAGACTCCTATAATAAACTATTACAACTCACGTTTAGTAGCAAAAAACGCCAACATACACACAAAAGGAAGGAAAGGGGCCGATGGTGCACGGGCATTGCCACTAGGGAGCTTAAGCACGCTGTAGCACTATACTCTTCGAGTCACGTAGCGGACGTTGCCCATCTGTTGGAAAGGATGCCGTGTCTAGGAGTCAGGGGGAGCAAATATGATTTTGCGTTAATGAAGTAAATGGCTCTGCGTGCACCATGTGGGTCCCAAAATTGTTCGTTAAATTTGTCACCTCAAAGAGCTATACATGCTAAATGCGGGTCCATTACGCAGCAAGGTAAAGAAATACCACACGCTGGGACAGGGAATTTGAATCTGCGATGATATGTGCTTAACGATCTTAAACTCTTGCGCTTAACGATGTTTGTAAAAGTGTGTGAGGTACACTGTCAGCGTCCTAAATGTCTTTCAACTCTAGGGTCGTAATATCTTATGGAATGTCATATGGTTTCTGGTGCATAAGTTCAAAACGTTTCATATGTATTAAAACCTCCTCCTATCAACTGTTGACTTACGAAAAACACATAATCAAATTCAGCATTAGACTTTTGATCGCTCTGCAAATGTACACTAAACTAAAGTGCAGTAAAAGATAAATTTTTCGGGCTGGGACTTTTCCGCCCCGAACACTGCGGCCGCGCTCCTGCGTGGACGCGGGCGAAACCGATTCGCCCTTCAACGTCAACTGGGCCACGGCCTACCAGCCCGGAACGCCTATCTTCTGTGTACTCCGGCCGGGAAAGCCTACGATGCTGTATAAAGTATAGTAAGTTCAAAGAACATTCGCAGCTCACGAAAATTTAAAATTAAAACGTCTACTTCAGATTTTGTTCTCTGCGTTTGAAATGCGAGTATCTCAGTGATAAAACAACTTCATTTCCACAAAGACAGAATAATACTTAGGTAAATGAACGGAAATTACACTAATGTATTCAATAACCTAAATCCGTGATCAGGGACGTGAGAGGAGCAGAGGAAGCGTGGAGCGCCGACACCTCCTCGATGGCGGAGGGGCAACAAGAAAGGTTCCGCGTCTTAAGCGAACAACAGCGCATGTCAACCCTCAAATGGAACAATGTGCTCTACACTAATGAAGAAATACGCACTATGAAGACATCTAAGTAGTTTGAAACATTTTCGTAAGACAATACGAGGCAGCAGAAAGCCTCTAACGCTGCGATGGCGCGCACCCCGTCTTACCTTGGGCGGCTTCTTGACGCCCTTCTCCTCCAGCACGCGCTTGATGTCGCCGGTGGCCTTGTCGATGAAGTTGATGACGGCGTACTCCACCATGACGGCGAACACGAAGGAGAAGCACAGGATGACGAACCAGTCGAGCGCCGTCGCGTACGACACCTTGGGCATCTGCGCGCGGCCGCCGAAGCCCATCGTCGTCATGCTCAGCACCGTCGTCACCCCTGCCGCCGCGCGCGACGTTACATCGTGCTACATCACGGCCAGCTCTCGGTGCCACATTGAAGGCGCACTGGCCGCAGGCCGAGGAACCGGCATGGGAGACTCGTGGAAAGGTTAATCAGGAGCATGGTGGCAACTCGGCACTGATAATCGAAACGGCTTCCCGGAAGCTGGAAAAGGCCACCGGGGAGAGCAAAGCGGGGCAAATTTAAAGGATTCGCCAATTCTCGCTAGCCGCGGAATCAGTATCCGGACCTTATTCCGGGTCACCAACACGAAGCAAATACTAAGCAAATCATTTTGTTTTATATGAAAGCAATTACTATGAAAAAATCTTGGGCGCCGAGCGTTTTTCAACGTCGAGGCGAGAGAAAACCTGTCTTAGTAGGAAGTCGCCTACCGGATTTTACATTAGCTTCCCTGTCACTCCTGAAAAATAGTCTTGTATAGGACTCTAGTATATGATTATTTGATGCAGCTTCCAACTGAAAACAACTTTAATATTTAAATATCAATTCAATCATTTTGCTCTTTCCATTCATAATGGTGACACATTTTCTGAAACACTATGCGAACACAAGAAAAACCCAAAAATAAATTAAAATGAAAAAGATCACAAACACGTACACAAAATGTAACAGATTAGCTCCGAGTAACCCTTGTTATTAATAAACTTGTGAAAAAAGGAATACAGATGCTTAAATTACAATGTAGTTCAAATTAACGAAGAATTGTGTGTTAAATATTATTTAATTTTTGTTGTATTCGCGTGTCTTTTAGACAATCAAATAAGATTCAGATCAATTTATTTAGTCGTACAATTTCAGAATCTCTCATCTCGGGGGACTGTTGTTTAGGGGAGTGTCTTCTCTCTGTCCCTATTATTTGACGAAACCAATCTTGAGACAAAGGAGATACAAATGAATTATCACATTAATGTCTTAATGCTTTTTGGATGTTTAAAAATGACCAATTTTCTTTTTTATTATTTTTACATTGTGTTAAATAACTCTTCTGATTTGTGCTTGTTTCCCGTGTTTCTGGTAAATATTTTTATTCTTTTATTCCGATGCAAATTTTATTATCCTTCTTGTATTTAATTCATTTTTCTAGTGAATTTGGAAGTAGAGATCGATAAGAGAAGTGCGGCGCTGTGGCGCAGGGGCTCACCGAGAGTGACGCGCGCCGGCACAGCGTCGGGGTCGATCCAGAAGCTCACCCAGGAGCAGCACACGATGAGGATGCACGGCGCGAACACTTGCAGCATGAAGTACCCAGTGTGCCGCTTCATCAAGAAGCTCACCTTGATCATCGAGTACGGATCTGAGACGACATAACCATTCGAATTAAAAGATGTTAACAATTACATTTTTGTCTCATCTTCAGATCACAAAAAACTATTAATAACATTGAAATTATTACAACAAGATTATCCGATTAAATTTTGAAAGCACTTCCCCAGATACATAACTCTCTTCAGAAAGACGAGATTATCTGCTAACAACAAGTGATTCATGTCTCTACGTCAAGTTACACATGCTCTTGTTTACGCTACTAATGTATGAGCATTTGTGATGTGAATCAACGAAAGGGTGAGTAGGAAATGAAACGTTTTTGGAAAATCGAATTAACATTTCAACATAATTAAACCGACTTATTGCCATCAAGCAAACCTGTATCATTTTATTGAACCATGTTCTTCACAGCACGATGTGTGGTAAATACGAGGTATTCTGAAAATGCAGCTTCACAATGTGCGGCCGAGCGAGGCGCAGTACCTTTGCCGCGCATGAACGTCCTGGCCTGCGAGACGGAGATGTTGACGAGGTCGTACTGCGCCAGCTCCACGCCCTCCTCCACCACCGCGTCCTCCTCCTTCCACTGGTAGGTGACGTCGTTGCTCATGTACCCGTCTGCAACAGCGGGACAACGGCATGCTGTGCGCTCGACGGTGCTTTTTACAATGCTTCCTTTTCGATGTGCCCCACACATTTCTAACTTGCAGCCAAACAGAAACGATTATATCAAAATCAAGAATCGCTCTAAATGTTTCATTATTAAAAAATAAATTCATATTTCTACACTATTAGACTTACAATATCTTAGATTTATCCTATGGAAAACAAATTCAAATTTACCGAAAACATATTTTATACCATAATTGTCTCTCACTAGGGGGTGATGTAGGTTGTGGAAACAAAAATTTGCGTCCTACCTCTTTATCTTCACAATAATATATCACAGTTCACTAAATTCATTAGCAAAACTGTCATTTTCATTAAAAGTTTGAATTTTTAAAAGTTTCATCTAGGTGCTTTTTTCGAATCTCCTGCACTTCTTTTAAAGAGATTTTTCAGCCGTTTTGCGCGCACCTGCCGTGCTCCTGCGTCCCGCTAGGAGACCCTAGAGGGCTCCTGGGCGGAGGGGGGGGAGGGGTTCGACGCCGGGGGCGTAATTGAAAAGCGCCCCTCGACGCTGTCACCGGCACGACAGGGCGCGAGCGGCGCGCCTCTCGATCGGCCGGGCAATCGATTCCGCCACATCGACAGCATTGGAACTGCTTCCACGCCGCTTTTTTGCTTGGTCGAAAAAAGAAGTATGCAAAATAGGAATAGCTAAGTCACAAAGGAACCGCAAAATGAATACAGAATTGATCACAGCTTTCAGTTTTAAACTTTATTTCTTCAGAAATTATTCAATAATTTTTCAATAACTCTTATCATTAATGCTAAAACTTAATACTCATATAATAATTAATATCCCAATTGGTTTGTGTCTGAATACGTCGCGCTTTCTCGTCTAGAATATGACAGTCTTGTGCGTTGGTGGGCTTTTTTCGAAACAACCAGTATGTGTGTCTGCCTGTTAGTTGATTGAATTTGTTATTGCGAGCAAATAAACAGCATATTTCGAAATAATAGGCCCAAGATGGTCGAAAGTGAACTTGTCACAACTAAATTAGTGAGCAATGAATCCTACAACGAGAAATATTACGAATATATAAAGCTTGATTCCTGAAACGGGTCCATCAAGTCCAAAACATGTACCGAGTAATTAAAAAAATATGCAACATTTTAAAATTTCCTTATAAAATTAGGCATGTTATTTTTAGCAAACAATCAGACGCAAGGAAACATTAAAACTCCTTTACATGTTCCACGTATTTCCTAAAAGATTTAACACTTTATATCAACGAGTTCTCAAGTCAACCGGACCTTTACTCCCCTCTTACCTTTCAAGCAAATACTTGTGTGGTTCCCTTTGATTGCGAGAGGTCATTATTTCCCAATCGCAACCCCTCTCCCCCCGCAGAAGCCGATCTGGCGGAAGCGCGCGCTCGCGGAGGGCCCTGACGAGCCGCCCTTGTGGCTCGGCCCCAATCGGAAGGGAAGTTAGCCTAGTTGGCCGCCCGCGAGGGCACGCTGTCACGACTGCGTCCAATGCGGAGCGAGCTGCAGCAACTGCCCGGCTTCTCCTCGTGCTGCGTGCGCAGCTCATGTGCGCTCCGAACCTGAGGTACGTCCGTCGATCGTCGAACGCTGCTTAAGGCAACCAAAGAAAAGCGACGGGGAAACTGGGCGCCGCCGTGATTTTGTTGCTCGAAAACGAGGAGGTGAAAGTGATTTCGGCGCAGCCAGAAGTTGGTTGAACGTTCCGAGAAATGTTTACAGTCTCTTGAAGACTTTGTGGAAAAGTAAACTTACCTTGGGTGATGTCATAGCCCTGTTGCCTATATATTGGTGGTTTCATAAATGGCCATAACTTGGAAGTGTAACTTACTTTTTGATTCACTTTCGTATCTCTTAGTTGTCGTGTGCTTATGTAGTGTGAAGAAAGTATTGTAATTCTACGGGAAAAACGGTGAATATTCCACATACAAAATTGTTATTGCCAGGCTACTACAAACTAGCTGCTACGAACAACCTTCTAATGCAAATTAAAAAACGATCATTTTCTCAAAAACAGGGCTTACTTTTTATTTACATTTGTGTTAAACAAGGAAGGTGCAGGTCTCACTTCGTCGATATCTCTGAATTGTAGAAAATTTCGAGAGGGAAGTGATGGGTTGAGGCAATTTCATTTATTTGATCAGGGGCCATATACGGATGGTTAGCCATGGGCCGTGTTGCCCTCTGCATGCGATGGTGGCGTGCAGTGGCTCCGAAGCGTCCTGCTGACCAAATGGTCTGAGCGGTACCCGGCATTAGCCTTGTTTGCCCACCGCGTGCTCTCCAGTGGAAGACGCTGTAAAATGGCCTTGCTGGATCACGATTTTCTCTTTTGCACTAGTACCACTCAGTGGGCAGAAATGAACAAGAGCTTTGAGAGGCCCTGAGTTCGAGTCCCGACTGTGACAGGATTTGTCACTCGGCTAGGTCGAATTCAACCCTTGTCTGGAGGAGGATTCTGGCTGCTCTGATCGGCAGTTTCCCATGATTTCTCCGATCAACGCCAGACAAATGCCGCGCAATTTTTCCTTCACTCCTTGCCCAGGCTTACACACACTCACAGAGGTACTTCACCACCACACTACTGTCGGGAGCTTAGAGCTTTTGCCGACCGAGGCGGTGCTTGCTCGGCTGGAGATACCTGGATGGGGATAATCCCGGCAGACCATCGCAGGTTTGTTGGGCCCCTTGACGGGCGGCCGGGGCGGCGCTGGAGGGCGATCAATGGCCTGGCCGGCGCGAGGGGCGCCCGCCCCGGGGCCCATCCCGCGCACGCGCTGCGTCCGTCGAGGCTCCCCCTCCTCGCCCCCCCCCCGCTGAACTACATCGGATATTCCCGCGCGATAACTCAGCACTGCGTAAGGAATTGATTTCAACGTGCAAATTACTTCATAGTAGAACCCAACTTGGAAATGTGGGCCCCTCAACTCAGCGTAACAGCGATGTAGGTCTGGTTCTGCCTTAGGGTATTCCAATGAAAACATTTTCAGAAGACTGGTAGAAGTACAAGTAGTTTCAAGATAAATCCGGGAAATTTAGGATGCTTTAGTTGCTAGATCCTCACGAGCGAAAGTTCATAATTCCTAGAAAACTCGAACGCCAGAAACTCTCTCAAATCGCTTCCCTTGTAGGCGCTGCCACTCACAGCTGCCGATGAGCAGAGGGCACTTCTGCGTGTCGAGCGGGAACTTGCGCAGGTGCATGGGGCAGGACGCCTTGATGGTGAGCCTGCAACAGCAAAGCCAGCCCATCCATGGTGTCTCAGCTTAACAGAGTAATGCAAAGAGCTTGATTCAGACATGTGGCACAATTATGTCAGATTACAATAGATCACGAAAATAATTACAAGTATTCGAAGCATTGTCAATGCGGTCGGAAGAAAATATTTTGCCGACAAAAGACACTTTTTATGTCTCTTTATTGTTTTCCTTGGAATTTTCAGACACTAAAATTATATATTGTTCGTTTAAACGCAGAAATTAAAACTGGATCCTAATGGCCTCACAGATGCATCTTGCACGCAATACATAGCTGTTTACAGAACAAGTGTGTGTGTGTGTGTGTGTTCACATACTATTCACATATAATTAATATGGAATAATATATTCGTACATATATGAACATTAAGGTTCGCAGAATAAAAATGTGCATTTACGTTACAAGTTATATATTCAGTACAACAATTGCTTCATGTTTATATTAATCATTACTAACACATCGACGCATAACGTGATGGCGAAAGAGCTTTTTCGTTAGAGGGGAACGCATTTCAAGAGAAACCTTTTTTTCAATTGTAAGAATTCAGAATTCATGGAATTTAGTTGAATTTCGGGGTATGGTAACTTTGCATCTCCTGCACCATTCAGTATTTTATTCTTCCCACTAAGTCTTAAACAAAACGAAGTTTATTTTTAAGCGCTGCTTCAAACGACGCGTAACATCATCTATCATAACGGTTTTACTATCTGTTTTCTCTAGGAGTCTCTCTAAATTAAGCACTGAACGATAACATTGAGTTAATTTCATTGTATTCTATTAAATTATTGTAATCGTTGCAATGATATCGAATTATATTAACGTATGGAAGCAATAACCCTGAGCAAGATGTGTATTTCCCCAATAGATTGTTTTCAACATTGTAATATAAGTACTAAATGGTGGCAAGAACGCTAATATTGAATGTATAAAAGGTTAAACGTTTTGAATCAGCCTTCTAAAATCTGTACCCACAAAATGCACCACAAGTAGCTGAAAATGTGCCGTCTATTTTGAGAAAAGAGAGAATTAAAAAATCTTCCAAAATAATTTTAAGAGTGAAGAATATAGTATAGTTACAATAAAAAAATGACAATAATTTTGGATAAAAGAATAACTCTTTCATTCCTAAAAATGTAAATTGGCGTAATGAAAACTTATGAATGAAGAGAAATTATTAATTTAGTGACTAAGGAAGCAGTAGGCAACATTTAAAATTTAACGTCGTACTTTTCTGATTTCGACATAATTGAGGTATTAAGTAGACTTTTGTTCTATTTTTAATAAGATTATCTTTATAAATTCATTCTGAAGAGTTAAGTGTTATTTTAGGATTGAATTGCGCATTTCGAGCGAATGTGAGCGGCAGCAGCTGTCATTTTGCGGCCAAATGCGTAAGAGCGCTATTCGAATGGCATCGATGCTCGTTGGTTGTGCTGTGCGATCGCGCATCAACAAAATATCGAACTGACTGGCCCCGCACGAGCACCGAGCAAACAGCGATGCGTTCTATTTGCGATGTTTGTTCCTGAGCATTAGCAGATCATGCCCCTTCACTCTTTGTTGACTCTTCTTCGGAAGTGTAAACAGCGAGAGCAATAAAACGTCACGTGTGCTACTGCTATCGACAAATGTGTTATTTCAGAAAATAGACGAGTGTTTGCTGTGCAGAGCTAGGAGATTTGGTTGGGGTAACGAAGTTGAGGTCACACAAACCAGAAGGGTAAGGGAGTAAACGGACACTTGGAAGCGTCAACGACGACTCGAGACAAAACCAGGAGTCTGCGGTCTCCCTTTGGAAGCTTCACAGAGAGATTGTCTCAGCACTCCACAGGGAGAAGCGAACTAATGTTTAATTACCAAATGCGACCACTAGCTTTATCACGTTTTTGGTGGCGTTTCACTAGGCGCACGATATAGAGATCCTAAATATCACTTCACGCCTTATAATAGAATTGCTAGAAGAGCTCAGTTTAGTGGACACTGTGCTTGATACCCATAGTTTGAACTAATTATAAATCTGGATAATAGTTTGTACAACGACGTAAAAATATTGCCCCAATGTTTCCAACTAGTACGCAACCATATTGGGTTAGTTGTTCTTGTATGTCGTTTCGCACTCGCTGTTGTACGCACTCGTTCTGACAGCTGTTTTCCGAACAGTGGGCGCAGTTGTGAATCAAAATATCCTATCTATTTATGGGCTTTTTTACTATGAGAAAACGTCATGGGCATCTTTGAATGGTGTACAAGAATACCCACAAATAATGTTATATCGTACAATAGAATCAATCTACATACCATAACAACGACTGAATTAAGATCGAAATGATATTTAATTGCTTACATCAATGTAACCATTGTGTTCTACAACCTTGCGAATGCGGTTGTAAGTGCAGTCGTAGTCACACAGCAGGCTTCGCAATGTGCGCCAGCGGAGGTACAATAGCTGCAGTGACGGTGCTCTTCTGATTTGCATCGAATACATTTGAAAGCGATTGCTGAATCAAAAGTTCAACTGTGTAATGCAACGCCAAACCAACAACAGATGAAGCGCTTGTGTGAGGAAGAGGCGCGGCGCGTACCGCATGGAATAGACGAGGTAGCCGTCCTGGCCGAGCCGCAGGAACTTGTTGGGCACGGTGATGCGGTGCAAGTGCGACTTCTTGCCGTTCATGAAGAAGGTGTCGGGCTTCCACACGCGCTCCAGGAACAGCCAGGGCATCGAGAACGTCTCCATGCCCGGGAAGTGGAACGTCAGGCGCTTGTCGAACCACGTCTGCCGGAAGTAGCAGTCCATCACGTACTCCTGCAACCGCAAGGCGCAGAAACACTTAGACCTACAAATTACAGGTTTTCAAAATATTTTACTGTTACGATTAATACGTTTTTATTGAAAAAATATCAACGACAAATCGTCTGACAATGTTGTGTTCATTATTTTATTATCTCATGAAATATACTTGAACAGTAAGACTGGCCTGTTAAGTTCTGAGTGCAATGTACGTGATCTTAGACTCCTGCTTAAATACCATATTGATTATCATAAAAAATGAATCAATCGACTTTCATACTAATTAAAGCTTTTCTGTCGCGTGCATTCATTTTTTATCTAAATTCTAATTATCACTACGTTTTTTATTAAAGATTTTCAAAATGAAACTATTATTCTTATTTGTGCGTTACACTCTGTAAGAGAACACTTCTTTTCAAAACAAGAAAAACATCTTTCTAAAAGAAACATTCAAATTGATACCAACTATTCCTTAATCCTATGGCTAAACTTATACCTCTGATACATAGGTAGCTTATTAACTGATCTTCTTTGTTCGAATGTGTAAATTCCTATGACAACTAGTAAGTATATAGGTTACTCATATATCAATAATAATTCGATTTATTAATAATTCTGCAATTAAGTTTGAGACCTTGGTGGCAGAAAACACTAACTTAACATTACAAAACTTAACAACTTTACAAACATTTCACCATGAACATTTCCCCGTGCAATCTTTCATAGCACAACACTTCACTGCACCGCAGTGTGAATGTCTTTGCTGCACCGTCACTGCACCGCAGTGTGAATGCTGTAATGTCTTTCTTCCCCACTCGTTTCCCTCCGTTTCACAACGCCACTGCACTTCACGCCACTTAACTGCACATAATTAATAATAATAATAATAATAATAATAATCATAATACTTAATTACATACAAGACATATTTACTTACATTGAATAATATTAAATATATTTTTAACACATATCAACATTCAGGAAACTAATTTATTTTTAAATTTGCTCAGACTTGGAGGAAAGGGATCGAAGATTGTCACAGGCAAACCCTTCCAGTCTCTAATAGTTCGATTCACGAACGAATATTTCCCAACGTTCGTTTTCTGAATTTTGTGCATGTGATCCGCTCTGCCGAAATATGTGGGTTTCCCTAATCGACTTTGAATTTCTTCCCACGCTCGAAGGCCTCTGTACGCTTTATACATTGCATAGTGACGGGACTTCAATCGCCGCCTTTCGAGTGACTTATTTACACCTTTATTCTTGGTTCGTACCCCTGAAAGTAAATTTTGATGCTCTACGCTGGACCTTTATATATTCCTTTACTGCAAGATTCTGTATGAGTCCCAACATACCGCTCCATATTCTAATATGGATCGCACTAATGACATATGTGCTAGTTCTTTGGCTCTCACTGTACTCTTTTTCAGAAATCGCATAACAAAATGTAAAGATTTCCAGGTTTTCCCTACAACGAAATTGACTTGATTTTCCCATCTCAATTTACTGTCTAGCTGTATTCATAAATATTTGCAAGACTTGACTCGAGGTATAACATTATAGTTCAGTTTCTACGTAGATTCATTGTAACTTCGACCCCTACCAAACGTGATGGACATGCTCTTTGAATTTTTTATTTCCATGTCGTTTGTTTCTGCCCAGATGCGTAATTATTTAAGGTCGCATCGACTACTAGGCCATTAGCGACCACTATTGCGTGTAGCGGGTTGGTAACTATGAGTATGACACGCTATGATGATGATAGGGGTGTGAAAGGACGATCCTGCGGTCAGAGATCGCTATGGCACCGCTGCCTTGGCGATCTCCGCAGTCCGGCCGGCCCCTTGGGCAGAGGATGGAGAGAGCGCGCTCGGTGCGTGGCCCCGTGTTAAGGTACGGCTCCGGTATTCGCCCGGTGTTGATTGCCGAAATCACGGTAAACTACCGATCAGAGCAGCCGGCCGCTCGGATTCTCCTCCAGGCCTCCCGGGTGCACAGCGGTGACAGCAGTTGATGCCCTGAGCCAACTCAGCCGGTGAGAAATTGTTAATGATACGGATTATTACTGTCTATTCATATCTCCTAGCGACGTTCTTTCAAAGTTTAGCTGCTACCGTTCAGATGAAAGCAGTGAAGCCCCGCTTTGCACCCGCCTTCGCGGTCGCGTGTCGGCGGGGGGGGGGGGG